AATTTCATAATGAAATGAATGGTGTTTCCATCCCCCTTTTTTGCACCTTATTGGCTAATGAAAACGGCTGATGCTATGCAGTGTACAATGAGGGAAATTTTGCCAGGACAGAGGCATTGATCTACTCTTTTTTTAATTTCCACCTGAAAGAGGCTTTTTCCCATGCCAGTCCCTCGTACCTGCATTACCGACTAAGGGTCACTGGGTTGAAAAATCCGAGGGTATCATCTTGACCAATACCTTGATTGAACCCTGGATCTTCATGTTTAGCGAGCAAGCATCAAACTCACTGAGCCACTGCGGCTCCTGGTTAATATTTGAAATACGACCAAGGTATATATCAAGAGAAAAAGAAAAAGGGTGGAATTAACAAAGCAAGGTTATTGATATATTACCTATACTATGATACGAGGGGGCAGAAAATACTGAAATAAAAATATTGATATTTCAATCAAATTTCACCATACAAAATCTGGAAACCACCTAAAGTAGGTCAACAATATTTGTGCACATGCAGGTCAGTTTTAAAATAGAGTCTTATTAGCTTGTCATTTTTCTAATAACTTAGTAAGAGATATTGAATTTTAACCAATCAAAACAACTTCTTTCATACAAGAGGGTTTGCCCATACTTATAATATATTCCAGAGTTTTATTGTTTATATTACAAAACAAACTGTATGTAGAAGTGTGTTGATTGGGCGGTTTGTTTTGAATGGTTGAATAGATAATAGTGTGTATATTTTAACACAAGTTCCCTACATGTGCTCAAAGATACTATGCCTTGGATGGATATCAGATGGTTTTCCGTTACAAACTTTTCATTTCAATTTTGTACCTTCAATTACTTCGTCAAAATGGAATGGTGCACAAGTTCCATTTTATAATCTTACCGAGGAAGTTCTTATTCCAAGAACTAAAGCTTTATCTTTATATATGACTAATCAGTGTTTTATTTTAGGAAAGAAACAGTGTCCAAGCAGATGCCACCAAATTTTTCAGGAGGTCCACAGCCTATGCTTTCACTCAGTAAAATGATACAAATTTGAAAGTAGGAAGTCATGGTCCCTCTGTAGAAATAACAATGTGACTCATCTTTTCGAAAAAATTAATGGCACCATATGCCAGAAATTGTCGATTTTATATCTCTTGGACAGTTGGGCTTGATTTCGAAGA